TTTCTTAAAATGAGTGTCGAGAAACGTTTTGAAGTTTACAGTTTTCCTAAATAATTTTAAATATTTATTTATAGTTTTCAACTATTTTATAATTATTAATTAATTAGTAATTATTACATATGTTTACATACTCTCCTCTTATAAAGCAGCAAATATAGGAATAAGAACAGTGATGAATTGCAGCTTTGCGTCTGTGGGTCGCGAAAGTAAAATGTTGAGAAACACTGGTCTAAAGAACAGTACAATACCATTGGGGAGAGATATTATTAATAAGCATGAGATAATAACTGTAAAGTTAAATTAGCTTAGCTATATTTGTGGTTCTAGTATATAAGCAGTACAGAAGCATATCAAATAAATTTTAAAAATTAAATTAGAGTCTAAAAATAGAACAGATTACAGAAGCATATCAAATAAATTTTAAAAATTAAATTAGGGTCTAAAAATAGAACAGATTTGTTCAGTTAAGATAATAAATTCCAGCTTCAGAAAGCCCCCGTTTTTTCGGCCGCCACAAATACAGATACATTCTCCCTGAACAATACCATAACAAAGCTAGAAGAAAGTTTATTTATTTCTGCTTCCGACAGTTGTTCTATCTGTATTCAATTTCCCTCCTAGTTGCATTTTTTCGTCACGATTGTTTTCGGAATAGTTTTATTGCTACGAAAAAAATCGTTCTCAATTTTGTATTCACAAAGAGCATGTTACGATGGTTTGGTGTTTCTAGTTTCTGGTGTTTCATTTTTCTATTTTAGTTTCTTTCTACGACAAATTGCTTTGTGATAAATCGTATTCGAGTTCGTTTCATTGGGTCCTACAAAAGCATCCAGTATTTAACAAGCATATTTAAATCATGTTACTATGGTAGGGCAAATTATGTTATTTCATTTTACATACTATTATACCACATGCAAAGTGCAACAATATCATTTAAAAGCAACAAAATATTACCGTATCGCATATTACCTAAGAAATAATTAATTGTAAGACACATAGATTAAAGTATTGAGCATCCAATTCCATCATAATGACGCAACATACAATGCTTCTGAAATTTCTAATATTGCTTTCTATTTATTCTTGCAAAACCTTATTTATTACCATTGCTTACAGAAAAAATTGATGCTTTTAATTCCTTTTTTTACCATTATATATACAATGCGTTGAACCTATTTTACAGTTATTAATATTGTTGAGTAATTGCCTTGCTTTGACTCTAAACATATATATATATGATAGTAAAATCTAGTACTTCTGTTTTATAAATTTTAAGTTTTTATATATATATATATATATATATTTGAATTTCCATTTTTCAATGACTAATACTATCAAATTCATTAAAATAATAAACAAATGTGTACCGAGGTCGGTAATAATGGTGTTAAAATATCTTTGATTAATTCAATATCTTTAATAAATAATCTTTGATTAATTTACAGTAAGTCTACAAATATTGAAAAAATTATCAGTTAGATGTATTATAAATTAAATTTAGAAACTGCTAGGTTGCATGGAGAGTAAATTAAAGATAAAGTCTCAGACATCAACAGTACTAGCTAGATTTTATGAAAGATATATGCTTTAATATCCTAATGTGATATAGCGTAACGTAATTGCATGAATAAATTTTAAAAAGGGAAATTAATAACAAATTAAAAAATTTTAGAAAAATCATCTCAAAACTTTTCTTATCATCAAAATAAAATTTCGTATAGTTACAAATGTAGTTATGGCTATGATTTCTAGTTTGACGTTAAAAACATCAAATAGTCCTTAAAATCTATGATTAGTCAAATAGTCATAGAATTTAAAAATAGTTTAGCGGGTGGCCTTGATTTACGATCTCGGCTGCTGAATTAGATATGTAATGTAGAATTAAATATGTAATGCATATCGTTTCAAAGGAACTTAAAAATTTTTCTAAATTAAATTTACATATTGCATAAATATGAAAAATATGAAGGCAAATTAACATCTGTATCTCTTACTATTGTTCAGTTAGTTAGTTTGCTATAGTTAAAATGGTATTCCATTGCCCCAAAATATAAATATCACTATTAAGTCTCTTCATATAGAATACAGAATGAAGTCAAAATGTTTTCTTTGCCACTTCAATTGCAGATATATATGCATTGAACGTCTCATGCTCTACGTCGAAGAAAATTTTTTAAATGTACAACTGAGTGTTGAGTAATTGTCATTACTTTTGCATTCATAAATTTACTCCTTTCACCGGGAAAGAAACTAAAACTACCAAAGAATTACGAATTAATGGCAGAATATTAACCAAATGTTGTCTGTAGTTTATATGTACTAGATAATTTCACTTAAAAGTTTATGTATAGCTAATTCCTGCAATTAAGGTTTCTTCACCAGATATAGGAATGAAAGAAAATTTCATAATTCTTATTTTAACATTATAGTTTCTTTTCATTTATTTATTTGTGCAAAGTATCAACTAAACAAACTGGAAAGCGCGTCTTTCTCTTTGGTTTGTCATAGCCAACATACAAAGATTATTCCCTAAGGATTGCTTTTATGTGTGACTTTCTAATCTGGTCATGAAAGGAAAGCTATATGGTGACATAGGAGGAAAGGTGAGAAAAGAAGCTTTATTTTTAGCGTAGTTTAAATGACATAGCAAATGATGGCGCTTATTTTCATAGAAATTTCCTCTTTGTTTCCTAGAAAACACACGATGAAGAGCAAGTAAACGCTACAAATACCAGAAGGCCGTCACCTTAAAAGACTTGCTTTCTTGGACCACTAACTAATTGATTCATATGAAATCAAGGTCGTCTTTAGGCACTTGCCCAGTGGCCCCACGAAAATGGAAGCCCCATGCTAATCCAGGTACATTTTATTTCTATGAATGGTTTTTCGTAGGGGCCCTGTACACTGGTTTGCTGAAAGGCCCATAATGCTGTCAGGACGGCATTCTATAAAAATGAAATATATATAGCTATACGTACCGAATAGCACGAATGCATGAATGAATATTATCTGTCTTTTGGAAGTCTTGCCTTCATGTAACTGGATCATGTGTCGTATAAGCTCAATTATGGAGACTGCTTCACATGTAAGTTGACTCTACAATTCTGAAGACTACTTTTCACGAAAAATGAAAGAGGGATAACCTCATACACATAAGAAAACTGATATGTTGATGTTATTTAAGGATGATAATTACATTTTCTAAATACCATACCTTGCTTTAAAACCAAAGTTCTCTTTTAACTTAAACGTTATGTGACACCTTATTAATTACATTGGAATAGTTTTAAATGTAAGGATGCATATATAAGATGCGTACGGTTTTCAAAAGGCCGATTCTGAAGTGTTTTTACGATAATTGCATATGGAAAGTAATAGGAAAACGCATATGCAGCCGACCAGTGCCGTTGGCTATAACGATATTTTCGTACTCGCCCCTGCGGTTGATTGTCAATAATTATTAAACGTTTTTAAAAGTAAAGCAAGAAATTTGTGTCTTACGTATTTTACATACTCAGCAAAGGCATTGCAGTAGCAAGCAATTTAGAGAGTCTTTATGATAAAATTAATTATTATTTGCTGAAACTCAGACTAAATAAAGAGAGCTATAATAAATTTTTATATTACAATGCGATATATTTTTTTTTTTTTTTTTTTTTTTTTTTTTTTTTGGTATATGGAACGGAATGGGTGGAATAAAATGCTGATGCAGTAATTAAATGAATATTATTGCTGTCTCAGTTATAAAGTGCTCAGTTATTTTAGTTAAATAAACATGAATATATATTTGTTTACTTTTCTGCAAATATTTTCATAAAATTATAGAGAAGAAAATACAGCAATTAAAAAAATCCAGTGTACAAACTTTTTGTATATCATTAAAACAGAAACTAGGAAATGAAAAAATAGTTTTTCAGAGACAGCGTTGCGTATATTTTACACGTACTGTGAGATTAATCTCTCCAAAAAGTAATCTTAGCAACGGTAACAAACGATTCTAACAACGACTAGAAAGCAACGAAAGAAATCAAAATTCTATACGATCATTTCAGAAGATATTTAATCTTCCTTAAAGCAAAACGACTATGTTAGCTTTTTCCCCGATGAGAAAAAGTATTCCAGTTCTGTATTTTTTTTTAAAGTATCAGAAAATAGCTCAATTAGCTTGCAAAACATACGAAACAGTTGGGAATGCCATTCTGCAGAATTAAATGATGTTTTTCCCTACGTAAATACTCTGATTGAGTAAAGTCAAAGCTACTTTACTGTATTCTTTGTTTTCATTTTATATCTTTTTTTACCCCAGATGTCACGTCAAAGTAAAATAGATCTCAGCCTTATGTAAATCAAATCAATTACCGTGCATGCAAAATTTTACTTAAACGTTAAATATCATCTTTTAACTTCAAAGTATCTAGATGTAAAAAAGCGACACAATGAAAATACTTTTGCCCAAGTATTATCAAAAGCCAAAACATAAAGTTCTAATTTACAGTGATGCATATAATACGGTTACGGTTAATAATCATTATTATAGTTCGCAGTCAACATTAGAAACTTACTGTTTTAATTTTCTTTTTCCTTGTTACATAATCTCTGCCGATTAAGTAACAACCTTAATTATTTTAAATAAAAACTAATGTTTAAATTATTAACAGTTTTACAACAGCAATAAAAATTTTTAATTTAGGAAATTAGTTCTGATAGAACATTCTACAAAAATTATTGCATTATCATTTTAAAATCATTTCAACGTTTAATAAAAAATATAGTGAATAATATCTTTATGTTAATGCCTTTATATTTTAATTAATCACCACTAAAGTTTAAAAAAATAACCAGTAACTATTTTACAGGCCGATGAATAATAAACAAAAGAGATATATCGACCTGCTTTGCAAGTCATAGAGAGAAACATCCATTTGTGTAGGAGTAGTTAACGTTTCAGACCGAAAGAAAACACATAGCAAGTTGTCAAATTTGTCAGAAGAAAATCTTACCTCTTTTTTTCTTATCAGACGCCGAATCTGGTAAATGGGATGCTGTGGAACACGTGACCACTGCCCCGTGGTCAGCAGTCATTCCGGACCTTTGGGTCAAGGGTGACTGGTGATGATGATGGTGATGGTGATGGTGCCCCAAGCTGACCATATGGCCCAGGGGCCCCATGGGTCCCCCAAGTGACGTGGGGTCCTGGGAGCCTACGAAGTCCTGCAGGCAGAGCGATTCGTTGAGACTGTCCATCTATCAATTAGGAATGCCACGAGGAAGAAGGGGGGGATTACAAGCGGGTAGTTAGGCGGGGCATACTCTTTCCAAAACCCCCAAATCTTTATAAGCCTTTCCTTTTCGCCTGGATCAAGCCGGATTTGGGTCGGACGCACGGATGGGGGATCTTCCCGGATCTAAAAGAGCGCGCTTCACTCAGTCGTTTTCGCGGGAAATACGGCCCCAGAAGCAATAGCTCCGCGCTTGCGAAGGCAGCTGCTGGTGGAGTGAATCGCCCGATCACGCGGCGCGGTAAATCCTGGCCTCCTCCACTATCCCATTCGCTGAAGCTCTTAGTTGAAACTCCGCCTATTTTAACCCCGCCTATCTCGGGTTGATGGCTGACGTCACTCGTGAGGGTGACGTCAGGTCGCAGGGTTTTGCGTTGGGTGCGCGCTGAAAAGGGGCATGGCTTACGGGCGGTGACTTTTTGAAGAAGGGGGCAGGGAGAAGAGGTCTTTTTCGGTGGGGTCGCATCTGTTGCATCACGTGGGATAACACCACCCATCTCTGGACATTCTCAGGTAGGACGGTGGTAATTTTTTCGTGATTACTTTTGTAATAAATAATTGCTTTTATATCTTGTCCTTGCGTATTCTGTGACACGAGTGAGTGTTTTTTTGTCTGTAGATAAACTATCAGCAACTCGCCATAAATTACGTATGTTTAGAGACTGCGGAATGAATGATAAAATGTCAAATCAAATCAGAAAATTAAATAATTTCTTAAAGGTTACAGCCGTATAAGAATAACTAAATTTTTTAAAAATACTTTACAAATAAATTTTTTTAAATACTTTACAAATTTCAAATCTTGTTGATTAATTCAAAGATTGATTTAAGCATTTTCTTTATTGCAGATTTGAATTTTGTGAAGCATAATCTTCTGTTCACATGCTGTAACTGTATTTTATTTATTGCGTATGCTTTCAGAAAATGGAATTTAATCTGTTTTACTAGGATTTTTCTCATTTTTTTGCTTAAATTACAACTGTTTTTATTGCAGCTATATGCATTCGTAGCATTATATGATGGTAATTGTATTGCATAGTAAACACGTTATTCGCAAATTATGCGTCTTGTATAAGTAAATATTTTAATAATATATAATATTGCGGAATTTTATATGTATTATTCTAATAAGATAATTTTATATGATGACTTTTTCAATTTTTAATAATATTAAAAATATTAGCAATTAATAAAGTATTTATAAAAAAATAATTATAAAAATTCACAATAAAGTAATTATATTAATTACTAAAATTTAAGCTTTGTTTGGTGTTGTGTCGAAAGAGGGAAGTATGGAATTTTCTCTTCTTCAGGAGCAATGACTGGATTTAGCTATATCATGCTGGCTAACTATTGCATAAATTCAAAGCTGAGGATTTTTTGACGATATGTTAAAAGAATCTGTTGATGAGCATAATAATAAATAATTATTTAAAATGTTGTTAAGAAATGAGGTTAAAAACCGTTAACAGAAATTTCATTTAAATGAAATTTAATGAATTTTTAAACCTCATAGAAATTTTTTAACTAACTTTCAAGCTAAAAATTTTGAATCAATTTGTAATTTTTATGTAAAATTATTTTCTTAGATCAAGGATAGCGATCATTTTTTGAGTAGAAACTGCAATAATTATTTTTAAAGTGTTTTCGGTGTCTTGTTTTGTTTAAAATAAGAAACATGGAAAAGTGAACAATGAGAGAGAGTTTTTAGTAATCAAATTCTTTGCCGTTTTAATTTATAAATTAGGTTGCTAAATTTTTCTCCGTATATTTTTTTACAAATAAACTGAAGTAAATAAAATGCGTTAAAATGTACGAAGGAAAAAGTGCTTACATATTTTAAATCATTCATTATAAATGGAAATTTTTTTTTTAAAAAAAAGTTTCAAAATATGTGAGGACAAAAAGAAAAAGGCTTTTATGTATTTTTAAGCAATTTATTTATTCATTGTTATGAAATGATAGCTGGAAATTTCACATAGCATATCCAAGTATGTAAGTTGAGACACATGGACAGGTTTAACAGAGAGGACACGTTTTCAATCAAGATAATGTGATTGAACATTATTTGTAATTAAACAAACCAGGTTTTTTTTCCCCTTTTTTTTTTTTTTTTAAGCCCAAAGGGTTAGCCGAGAAGGGCTAATAATCGTTTCGGCATTTTGCGTTGAAATCTTTAAATGTCGGTTCACTTTTCAAGCTGCTGCTACCAAATATTACATCCCTGTATTGTATTTAAGGAAATTAAATAATGAAGAATCTGCATAAATGTACGTATGTTTCTCGCATTGTGATAAAACGTCAGTACCTAGAGCTATCAAATTTTGAATAACGTACGTTTCCACCCGAATCTGGGTATCTGAAAGCCCAAATTTGGAATTTGTTTTATTATTTATTTCATATTTTGTAAAACTTTAACGAATTTTTGATTAACAAACAACGATTTCAAAGCGAGCAATGACAGCACTGTACAAAAAACAAAACAACAAAAAAAAAAAAAAAAAAAAAAAAAAAAAAAAAAAAAAACATTTTTACTCCAGCGCACAAGACTGTGTATGGGAAATTCTAGTTAACAAAATATAGTTAATAAAATAAAGGTAACCCACAAAACGTTGAAAAACGCCCCTTTGGAGGCTAATGTAAAATCTGAAAGCTTTCAGATTTTTTTTATATATTTATTTATTTTTTAAATAATGATACAGCAAAAAATAATGTTAATGGTTCTCAAGAAAAACCCTTATAAGAATAGAATAATCCTACTAAAAGATGTGAAGAATCTTTTTTTTTTTTTTTTTTTTTTTTTTTTTTTTTTTTTTGTTCTACTACAGACAGAAATAGCGAAAAAAATCAAATAATACCCTCGCCGTGATCTTCTAGTTTCTCACGAGGGCATAGAGGGGAGAATATGATATTACCTTACACTTTCTCTTATTTAAAGGGAGATTGTAGGGAGGCACGAAATTTATTAATTTCAATTTTTAACATTATGCAAAATTTTTAATTTTTTAGCCCAGAAGGAGGTTAGCCCGAAAGGGCTATTAACCCGGAAACGGGATTTTGTAATTTATAAACGGCTGTATCACTTTCCAAACTCTTGCACACAAATACTAACGCGCTGCATTATTTTAAAACAAATTAAGTAATGAAGAATCTGCATGTAAATGTGTATGTTCCTCGCATTGTGAAAAAACGATACCTAAGACCTTCAAATTTCATCCTAAGACCTTCAAATTTCATCCGAACATATACACCTGGAAGCCCGAAATTTGAATTTTAGTTCTTATATTTCATATTTTGTAAAATTTTAATGAATTTTTGTTAAAATCTCAAAGATTTGAAAGCGAGCAGTGGCAGCACCGTACGAAATGAAACATTTTTATCTCCAGCACTCGAGACTGTCTATCGGAAATTCTAAAATATGCTGTTCGTAAATATTTTTGATTTTGCTGTTGAATTTAATTTTATGGGCTAACTGCGAAGAACATGTTATTTAATTAATAAATTTATCATTTAAAACGTTAGTAATAAAAAGACAAAAAAAAAAAAAAAAAAAAGTTTTGCAAGCCATCTATCTTACTAAGAAAATCCATGCCTTCATATGATGAGCGGAGAAAAGTCTGAAAAAAATAGAAAAATATTGTGCTGAAACTTAACAGTGCATCGGGAATTCTAAACGTATGCTGCTAAGCTGCTTTTGAGATTTTTCTAATTTTATTGTTGAATTTTATATGGCGTATGTGCGAAGAAAACAATGCCTAATAACAAAGTTAAAAAGACAAAAAGAAATGCATTAGCAGCAGTGAATGCAACAGCAGACTGGTAGCTCAGCGATCTCAGCGACAGCGTAAAAAAACTTTAACAAATCCCTTTTGGGCGACCGTTAAAATCTGAATCCTTTTAAATCCTCCCTTGCATTTTATACAGTTTCTGCTTTACTATCATTAAGAAAGAAGAAAAATACTATTTAAGGGTATAAATTCCATGTAAATTTTTAGCTTGTTTCCACTTGAAAAACCCACAACCAACTAACTCATAGTTTTTCCACTAAAGAACTAATTCGCATTGCGGATTCATAAATCTAATTTCCAGAATGTTAATTAGTAATTAACAGTTGTTTAATTAAAATTTTTATATTAATTATTTTCTATTTATATTATTTCAACAACAAAATATTTAAAAGACATAAGGAATACACCTAAAGGAGGAAAAAAACAATTATTATTTATTAAAAAAAAATTAAATGAAATATTATTTGGTTGATTTTAATTCTAATTTTAATTATTATTTATTATATCTAAACAGCATTTGCAACTATTTTTTTAAAGTACTGAAAATAAATTACTTTCAAAATCAGTTCCGTTCAAGTGCATATATATATAAAACACTCCATTACCTTCACGAAAAAACGTGGAGTAAAGAACAATTACTAGCGGGACATAAAAGATTACAAAAATTTAAAAAAAAAATGAAAGTAAAATGAAAAAGTCTGAAAGGTTTCAGATTTTAAATTGCGTCCAAAGGGGAGTTTTTTAACGTTTCGTGTGTTACCTTTATTTATTAAATATCATGTTCTACGTACTCAAATCAGTTTCTACGTATATAAAATTCAGTTCAACAGCAATATCGCAAAATAATTTTAAAATGAGCATATCTTTAGAATTTCCGATATAGAGTCTCGCGGGCTGGAGATAAAAATGTTTTTTTCTTCGTATAGTGTTGCCATTGCTCGCTTTGTAATCATTTAGTTTTTTTAATCAAAAATTCGTTGAAGTGTCACAGAATATGAAATCGATAATAAAACAAATTTCAAATGCAAATTAGGGCTTCCACATGCCCATATTATGCGGAAGATCATGTTATTCAAATTTTGATGACTGCAGGTACCGTTGTTTTATTACAATGCGAGAAACATACACACATCGATGCAGATTCTTCATTATTCAATTTCTTTAAATATAATACAGGGATCTAATCATTGGTGGCAAAGTGATTCGCCGTTTATAGTTTTCAACGCAAAATGCCAAAACGAAATTAATAGTCCTTCACGGTTAATTGCCTCTTTAGACTAAAGAGATTACAAAAATAAGAATAAAAGACTTAGGAGGAAAAGCCACATAAACGCGGTCTTTCCACATGCCCTCCTCAGCTGAGCATTATGCTGACGCTTTCACTTTTTTGACTGGGCTGTATTCTAATCTGTTAAGACTGCATGATACCTAAGAAGTTTG